AAAAAAAAAAAAAACATGTATATATTTGCCTGAAACATTTTTGTTTGCCGGTCTCAATTTTCAAGATGTTCGACTGGATGGATTAAATCATCTTGTGTGAGTGTATGTATACGCTTTTTCAAAATTTAATATTTAAATTTAAATAGAGACGCATAAAAACCTCTATTAATAATTGCATTTTGTATATGTAATTTCAATTTAATTAAATGTATATTTACTTTAAAAAGTATTCATATGGTTTTTGGACCTTGTAAATTTTTTTCGATTAAATGAATTCTTAGTCTTGCGTTTTTACACGTTTGTACTTATCAGAAATGAATGTAATATTGATAAAAATTAGAGAGAATTTAAAGCGCCTCACGCGTTACGAGAGGTTTTTTGTTCTAAAGAAGATACGAATAATTTAGTCTCAATTTAAATAGTTTATGCTTATTATTCGATATACATACGGAGAAGAATCTCATTCGTCTAAGGCCACAATAATTTGAAATGCGCCATTGCCGCTCGATGTCACGGGCTTGTAGCCGAGGTGCGGCTACAGAAATAGCCCGTGACTCAATATTTAGGCAGCGTCGATTTGCTGCAGCACGCTTTCGTTACGGAGTCGTCCCTTAAGTCGGCATGGTGGTATCAGCAACAGGAAATTTACCATCGACACATACAGCTAGGCCGCAGCCGATATTATATAAACAATACAGATATATTTATGTTAGTACGGATTAAGCAAGTTAAACTAACAAGGTAAATTTATTTTATACACATAGGCATTTCAAGAAATTGGAAGACTTACGGTACAATTTTTTAGACGAATATAGAGTCTGGTTTAATCATATTTCCTTTAAAAGGTTCCTTTTTTAAAATTGGAAGATGAGAAAAACATAGGAAAAATAATCCTTTACAGTAGTAATTTATTTCTATTTCAATATTTAACGAATAATTAAAGAATAATTATCATTCTTTTTGTAACCGACATAGTCATATAACAATCATCGTTCAAATCATTTTCCAAATAAAATTCTTTTCTTTAATAATTCCATGAAATTGATTTTTTTAGAACAACTTTTAGATCGCGAAAAACACAAAAATAATTCATATAATTAAACAAGTAAAGTAAATAATATAGATAATGCAAAAAGAGATTTTTTATTTGTACCTTTCTCTCTTTCTCTTTCTCTTTCGTGAATATTATCAAAATTAGCTAGAATTCGTGGTGCTCGGTTCGAGAGAAAGGCATAAAGACACAAGTAAAATATTATTTGAGAATTAAGTATAAATAGTATTAAGTATTAATAATTTGAAATTAATCTATGCACCATTAATGCGACGTCAGACACAAGTAAAATATTATTTGAGAATTAAGTATATTTAATAATTTAAAATTAATCTATGCACCATTAATGCTAACATTAGATTCAGATAAAGGTGGCCAGATTTGAATAAAAATTTATTGAAGTCTCCAAGTGTTCGTTATCATAACATAAGTTTATGACAATGTGTGTGATCGTGCGCGTGTATAAACTTATCGGTATTGTTCGTTATTTCACACAAGTCCAATCGCGATAGGTGTAAGTATAATCGCGCATTATAGTGCATGATTTCTATATACATTTAATGTATGCACTATACATATTATCTATCGTGAAGATATGTACATTACGTAAGATATATAATAATATACCTCACATATGCGTTATATGTAAGATATACATATAATGTACATATATTATATGACATATGTAATGTACACATGTACTCACTTTTCATAAGGATTGTCCCCTTCATCGTCTCCGAACCACGCTCAGGTTTTAATATTAAACGCCATGTCAAGCAAACGCAAAGTAAACGCAATCATCTTTAACTTTGTACTCTGCATCTTTCGTTTCTATAACTAAAACGTTATTTGGTATTGCAATGGTATTAAAAATAAGATAATAAAGTTTTTTACATTCATAATGTACATTCCTCCATACCCCCTGGGTATAGTTGTACGTGTCGTATCAACAAAAAACACGCTGCTTTTTTTATGCTAGATGTGTTACTAATGTTGCGATTATGCTTGAAACGCAATTCTTGACGCAGTAAGTAAACGGTTAAATGCCTGTGATTATACGACAGATGAAAAAACAATTTGGGCGGTATGGCCCATGATATGAATGAATGAATGAATGGATGGATGGATGGATGAAGAAAATGATCCTAAAATTTATAAAGTTTCTATGTACACACGTAGATTCGGCGCGAATTTAACAAAGAAGTACAGTCACTTTCACACGAAGAAGATATCCCATTGTAAAGTATCTCTATTGAGATGGGCTTATTAGCGAGGATTCTCTTGTATAAAACCGTCTCTCTTATGCTAATTCTCAGAAGACGTCTTACTGGATATTGCATTCGTTCCACACACAGAGAGCTTCGTGCGATTCGACCCGGCCGGATATCGTCACTAGAGTGACAGTGTCCTTTTACGTACTGTCATCAGCCTCTCCACGGCGGAACGATGGACCTCACGCGACTTTCATGTATATGGTACGTTCCCGTATCTTGCAATGCATAAGTTCCTTGAGCGCTCGCTGTGCCTCGCTGGGCGACGAGAAGGCCACGCGCGCATCTCCCGTCGGCATGCCTCTCTCGTTGTAGCGGCGAATCACATTTTCTCGTTTCACGTCAAAGTCGCCAAAAAATTCGATGATCTCGTTGATGTCTGCCTTGAACGGAACATTCTCCAATGACAGCACGCAGCCAGGTTTACCAAAACCTTCGACATAATCCATAGAGGGTGGATGGCGGCCCATAATGTGACGCGGCATACCCATTAGACCGGCAGGCGGGCAACGAGGTCCGAAGCCGGTGTTACCGAAGCGCAGCATATGGCCCATTGGGCCGGAAAAGCGCGGCGGTCTCTGGTGCTGCTCCTGCATCGGGAAATGCTGCTGTTGCGTTTGCTGTTGCGCCTCCATCATGCCGAGAGTTTCGAGCATTTTAACGCGCGGCACCAACTCGATAGTGGGTATGTTTTTACCAAGCGGTAGACCATTCTTGGCGATTGCGCGTTCCGCCTTCTCGGCCGAGTCGAACTCGCAGAAGCATTCGCCGGCCGGTTTGCCCTGCTGATTGAGCATCATATGAATGCAGAGCGGTACAATGCCGATATCTGAGTAAAAGTCAAAAATGTCGCGATCGATTGTCTGGAATGGCAAACCACGCATGAGAATACAATCCGTTTGGTTCATGCTCGCTTGCTCGTGCTCGCGCTTCGCCTGCGCAAACTTCTCCTCGCTTATCGCGGTCGCAGTTACTTGCTTGTTACCGATCTTGAGCGACGTACTCAGCGATGACTTGGCGTCCTCGAGCCGCGCAAATTGCACGTAAGCCATATACTGGGTAGTACCGGTCTCCTTGCTATTGGTAATAAAGAGATCGTTGATCTTCCAGTCGTGGAACAGCTTGGCTATGTCCATTTCCTTGGTGAAGGATGGCAAATCAGTCAGCAGGATGCACATAGAGTTTCTAACGTCGCCATCGGTGCCATCTTCCCTACTCTCAGGCGAGTAAGAATTCACTGCTTTATCGAAGATACTCTCGTCCAAATCGAGTACCTCTACCTCGGAACCTCGCACGTATCTCGTCGTGCTCAGCGCGAGTTCTTTGCCTTCGGCCTTGCCGAACTTGACATACGCGATACCTACGCGATTACCGTGGTTATCGTTGATTATCTTCATTCCCTCCTTCCTGATGTAGGTACCATGGAACGCGTGGCGTAGATCCGCGTACGTCGCGCTCAACGGCATATTGCGCACTTCCACACAATGACCTCCACCGCTGCCGTTCTTATTCTCGTTGGAGAATCTCGAATTGCCGGACTTTCTGCCGGACGTTGGTCGATCGTTGTCGTAGTTGCCAAAGTTAGAGGCACCGGCTTGAAACGCGTGTGGATTGCGACGGCCCTCGAGCTCTTGCACTTTGTTCAGGAAGAGCTGATTGTTCGGCCTGGAGCCGCGGTAATTGCCAGTAGTGCCGTATTCCTGACCACCGAATTGATTCGATCGGCCGGAGAATCGCCCCCCGGTTTGGTCCATTCTACCCTGCTCGTTCTGACTCCAGGGTTCCTTCGGATTCCGAGTTCCGAGACCGCCCAAACTGCTGGGTAGACTGGTGGCGGTGTTTAGATTCTGCGATAAAGACGTCATGCCGACCGTGTGCCCTGCGAGCGTCTGAATGTGCGGTTGCATGAGATTGCCAACGGCGCCGTTAAGACCGTTTATAGAAAATTGTCCAGGTTGCAGCATCGACTGCTGACCCATCACGGGTGTGCCAAAACTGGCCATGGCTGAACGCTGAGTCTCCGAGTCCTGGGATAGAGCAGCGACGCCAGCTCCTAAGATACTCGGTGCCAACAGAGCTGCCTGCATCTGCGTTTGTGGCGGAACTTCCCATATGCCATTCTCGAGTGGTTTTTTCGACGCAGCCGTCGATGCCTTGTCCTTGTTGAACTGGCCAACGCACACGACCTCGCTGTTGTCATCCTCGTTAGTATCCTTACGTCTGTCGTTCGTCGAGTTCCTCTTCGAATCGCGATCGCGCGATCTCGTGCGATCGCGCGATCTGGACCGGTCCCGGCGACGGCGCCGGTCTCGTCTGTCACGTTCTCGGTCTCGCGATCTACTGCGATCCCGTCGTCGTCGGTCTCTCCCGCGATCCCGATCCCGGCGATCTCGGTCACGGTCACGGTCGCGCGACCGTGAGCGGTCTCGCGATCTCGATCGATCGCGTCTGTCCTTCCGATCCTTGCTGGACTCGCTATCATTGTCCTTGTCTCTCTTGTCCGTCGGTGAACCGGGCTGTTTGCCGGGAACCACGGTAGGCGGTACCGCCACTGGCGCGGTTTGCATGATGCATTGCAAACTTAAAGTCTGCTGTCGAGCGGCCTCAATTACCTTTTGCATTTCAGTGCGTGAGCTCAATAACAGCTTGATCTTCATCTCCTTGATCTTGCCGCCATCGTTCATCATTGCCTGGCGCGCATCTTCGTCGGTGCTACAATAATGAAACAACAACATGTCTGTGAGACATATTCTCTTTTAAAAAATTGCAGATGTCTTAATTAATTTTCATGTTACTGTATTTTAAAATTGTACGCGAAAAGAATTCACCCTATCATTTGGCAGATATATATCATATGTCATACGTAGACGTTTAGGCTCGGTATACTCCGATATACACTGCCAGTACTGAAAATCTATATAGTATACGTAACGTGAATTATATAGATTTTCAGTACTGACACGGTGGAAATCGGAACACACATAGCCTTAGTCTTGTCTTATGTGTTGGATAATTTTAAATTCTTTTAGACGATGCGCGAAAATTGAAAGATAATTATTACATTATATTATTGTGATTAACGAGATAATGCGACAATTGGTAATTAATTTTCTACTTTATACATCATATTTATATCGTCGATAAGTCGTCACAAGTTTTTAACTACGTAATACGTTTCCATAGTAATAACCCACGATTAAGGATCGAATAATCAGCGATAAAATCAGTTGCAAGTTAAGCGGAAAAACTTATTATCTTTTATTAGAAATTATTCATAAATTGCTAAATAACCGTTGTAATCGAGTTTTAGCCATACATAAATGATATGTAAGCTCTTAACACATATAAAATTCATTCCAATAAGGATTTACGATTGTAAATTTATGATTTTATATATATAGTCGTAGCAATAATCACATAAAGCTAGTGCTCAAAGTATTATGTTTATGTACGCATACATACATGTTAAACAAATAACGAATAGAAAATAAGATGCAAATGTATTTATTGTGTTGGCACATTCCTTTTTTATACGGAAATTCATATAATAGTAGTTACCTGAATGCGATAAACGCATCTCCCAACTCGCCGCCGACAATATGGACTCCTCCCTCCGGGATACTTAGACCTCTGAAAAACTGGCGTATATCCAATGCATTGGCAGACCATGCCAGATTTTGCAGCCTGATTATGACGCTCATTTTCAAAGATTGTTCGACGCTTGTATCTGCAACCGAACCGAGAGGCAACGAAATTAAGCGGTGGAGAGAAGAAACTTCTTCGCTGGATCTATGTCGCGATAATCAAATCGTTCGCTGTTGGCGAATTAATTGATTGTCGAGGATATTTAGTAAATATTTTCGGTATACGTATTCTTATATAAAAAAAGAAAGTTTTTTTTTTTTTCAGAAAAAAATACCTTTATTTATTTTTACATTACATTGTAATACTGCGTATCTCTTCTTTGTATTATAGAATTTAATAAAATTAGTCACATTTTATTATATAAGAATTATTCGTCGGTTAATTTTTTATTTACTCTCACACATTATAATATATGTATATACTTATCACGTTAGAATGTGATTGTTATATTTACTTTTCATTATTTCTTTCACCTTTTGACCATCTTTCGTTTCTACCTCTTTCACGTTTTTTTTGCCTTGTTTCGAGATGAATCGAGATTGACTCTTTTAAGCTTTTCTTTCCTTTTGATTGTTGCTTTATTTCAACTTCAAATCAAAGAGATATTTTAGATTAAAAGAAGAAAAACTTTTTATTTCTCATTTCTTTTCTATCTTTCGACGAAAACTATTCTAACGGATTACAATAAATTCACGAACAGAAGCCACTCCAATTAATTTGTCCTAGTACATTTCTTCTTATATCATTTCGATAAATTAGATTCCGAGAAATAATCAAGAGAAAATAAATGACCGATAAGTTCCAATATTTAGTCGAAATATATACCTAGATGTTTATTTAGACAGTGTATGGCGATACATATATCCTTGCCTTTTATTTTAGCTGATTAGGTAATTATAATTATATTAAAGGAATTGATTAGATATATTTTTATCTTTTAATGGATACTTTAACTCTCATAACAAATTAATTTTCGTCATAGTTCCTAATATTTGCGACATTTTAATCATTAACTGTCAAAAGTTTGAATCAATTAAGATGAGCAAATGCCAACACGGTACAAGGTCTTAATGGTGCTTAATAATATTTTTATGTGTATCTTACAATTTTCAGTTCAAGCAATGCGCGCCGCATAAAGTTTATAAATGTATGTCTCTCATGTTCATGCATACATATCGCTGTTACAACTTTCGCAGTATTTCAAGATAGCAAATAAACTTTCTCTCTACGCTGAAGCGATTAAAGCGAATGAAATTGTACAAACAAGACAGTGTATGACGAAGCATCTTCTTAATCGGGTAACGTACACATGTCGATATCTGCTTTTGAAAATAATTATTGCTTCATTTATTTATTATGTACAGAAATCAACATAAGGATATTATTGCAAATATTTTATCTTAATCTTTTTGTTATTTACATTTAACGATTTATGTGTTGAACCAGAAAGATTACAGAAAAATAGGTACGTGATCAAATCGGGTAATTAGATTTATTGCATAAGAGGTGTTCGGATATTTTCACGAAAAGCATGCATTTTAAATATTTTTATCATACGCGAAATAAATAAATATTTAAATTACTTATCACGGTTGACAATTTTACATCTCGATGAAAAATCTTTTAAACATTTTAAATGTTAAAATATACATGATTCATACTTATTTCAATCTTTCTCGAAAAAGACAATTATCAAAAAATTTTATTTTAAATGTAATGAAAAACTGTCAATAATTCATTATAAGAAAAAGGTAAATTAATTTCAGTTTTATCATCAAAAAATAAGATTAAAATGACAAAGCTCGAATTTATGTACAAAAAGTGTTCTATCTTCAACTTTGAGTGCTCATATACTTGAAAAATGAAAAATATCTAAAAAAAAGTACCACATGTGTACGCATCTAACATCTTTATTATTACAACGAATTTCAGTGGCACCAAAGTTTTGGCAAAGGAATGTATATATTTCCAAGGCATACAAATCAACCACATGTTATGGACGTACCTCAACAATCGAATCATTGAGTTTAGTTTGCTTCTTTCTTTAGACAATCATAAATCCTTCAAACCCCCTCGAAAAAAAGCTAAAAAAATACATTTCGTCTGAAATGACAAACTTGATATAAACATTTTCACATCCAGTGTAATAAAATGTAAATATCAATCATCGAAAGAAAAATTGTTTTATAAGTATGTGATGGGTTAAGTGGGAATAATTTTTATTCACGATTTATAATATTTTTATTTGAGTGGGAAGTTATTTGGATAAATTAAAAAACAAGGGAAATTAATTTTATATATAAATGTAGATATTAGTTTTGGAATGAGAATTTAAATTCAAGTGTATTAAATGCTTAGACAGAAATGATAAAACATATTGATCGAAGTTTGCGAAGTTGATGAGTTGGGAATACTTTTAGGTCTGAATTAAATGTGGAGAAATTATTTGTGTTTATTATGAGTATATCATATTAGTTATTTAAGTGATGGATTAAGTGTAAATAAAACTTATGCGCATTTATAAATAAACGCAGTATTAATTTTATTTAGCAAACAGCAGTTCGATCTTTATTCCTAAAGATAAATATTTGACTACAGTTAACAATTGAATATTTAAATATTCAATCTAACGGATTATGTGGGACGGGAATAAACTTGCGTCATTTACAAAGACAGCAATTGGGAATATGGGGAAAGTAACTTTTCATCTCTCGAATTTTACTCTCGTGTTCTCCTCTGTTTTACTCTGTACGTGTATATTCAGAAGTCGTCGCGTTTCGGGAAATTAATTATAGTGATCGCCGTAACCGGGAATTTTCACGTCACAGAGATAGCAATCTCGGTTGATTCTTGACTCTTTGATGACCATATTTGCAATCGACATATTATTCATTCCACCGTTGCGAGGCTGTGTGATTATAACTAGCCACGACTCGATCATTAAAAAACAATATTCCGAGAGCTGAACACGATTCGACACAAAGTGACTGAAATTGCGACAAAATGACAAATACATTTTCACGCATATTAGAATAAATTAAAAACGAGCCACCGAATCATCATATCACAAAATTCGAAACGTTATGTAACTCATTTAAGAGCTTTTACGGCTGGTCCGAATGCAGACATACATAGAGATTTTTTCCGAAATAAATTCGGAATCGCAGAGAAAGAAATTGCCGACAACTCTTTGGATTAAATGACCGGCAAATCACTTCCTGTTGCTTTAAGGCACACAAAGTGCCAGACACGTGTCTGTTTCTGTCGAGCATGACGACGCAACGCCGCTCGTTCCATCTCTTCGGCTTCCATCTGCCATGAACTGCTGAATCCTTTCGTCGAGATCGAGAGAAAACGAGATCAATGATTGTGTTGTGCTTGGTCGAAACGCTCTACGTTCCTTCACGGATAAATGAATCGATTACGTCAAACGCATATTTAACGCTTCTTCCGGAATTATCCTATTACCGACAGCGGCTCCCTCGGGATGAAGAGAAAAATTATTAGCACACTTCGCATAGCATACTCCAAAAATTATTCGATCTTCATCAATCAGAGCTCTTAGGAGTATTTCGAAGTAATTAAAAGTGCTTATTGACGAAAATAAAAAACCAACTCGTATAGCGTCGAGTATATTAATTATTTGAATCAGTTGACACAGCGAAGACGAATGTATTATACGATCTAATCATCTACAATATTTCATCTACTTAATAATATGTTCTTTAAGTAGGTTTTAATTAAACAATGTAAGATAGCACAAGAAGATAGCACAGTGTTGCAAGGCTAGAATTCGAAAAATTACGGCAACATTGGTGCTATATAAAGGTAGATAAATATTCATTTTATATTAATGTTGTATTAAAATTCTTATTTGTTTATAAAAGGATTATTGTGTCATGTCATTTAATATTTAAATAATATCTTTTAGACAAATTTAATCAAATAAAGTAATAGACATAGTAGAAAATAATTAAAATGTTACATGACCAAAATTCGAATTTTTATTTTTAGTTTATTCGAAATTCACACAACACCGATAAAAATGATATTAATACGATAAATAGTTATTTACCTTAACATCGTATTTCTTTCATCTAATGTTGAAAAGTATTTAATTATAATATCTAGTAAAATAATAACTAATACGCACGATAAGTAATTTAGGAAACAGATTCATATCGATGACAGAATCGTGCAAAATTTGATTATCAAGCTTATTATATTTGTTAGAATTTCAATATGGCTATAATTACAGTGAAATAGCTTTATTGTTGTAGAGAATGACTTGAGGAAGATCTTTATATTTTTTAATTTTGCATTTGGCGCATGCAAAACATAAAAAAATATATTCGCAATATTTTGTACATTTAAAATTAAATTGAAAAATATTTGAAATATATATTGCAGAATATTTTATGATTTTCTGCTTTTATACAAGATCAGTAAACATTTCGTGATATGTTACATTTAACGATTCACGAAATTTAGAGCAGTCAATTGAGATGCAAGAATGCAAAGGAAATTCGAGGGTGGAAAATCAGATGTGGATGCGAGTTCTCGTGACTCCCGTCGAGCTTGAACACGATCGCTCGATTGAAAACTACGCAAACGTGTAAGTCAAAGTCTTCGAATTATCGGCTAATTAGGTGTAACAACAATCAATACGCAGTCGTCAGCTTTTGTTCAAAAATCCAAATCTGCAGCTGCATCAATGTATAATTGGAACGGTTTGGAACGGTTTGGAACGACCATAACATAGTGTACTCGTATCTCTGTTTCTCTTTCTCACCAACGATCACTCCTAGTCAATTAATATAGAAATGCCTTTAGATTTCCTTTCGTCGAACACACCAGGCCACAGGTACATATTGTTCATTCATGTGGTTCCGTTTATTATTATATAACAAAGGAAAAATATTGAAAAATTCCATCGGCTCTAGTTGCAAAATAAAGAGAAAAGGAAAAGGAATAGATCTCATTGTCAATTTGGCGATATATATATATATATATATATATATATATATAGATAGATAGTGTGTGTGCATATGACGTGCGTGTGAAACAAGAATCGAGAAAATCGGTCTACATCTGAAATATACCATGCGCAATTCGATTCCAAACGTTCGCAACGATGGAAGCAAGTCGATAAATCACGGCTGCACCAACGTACTTCAGTCATCCGTTGCCGCTTTCTTCCTGCGTTACATATATGTGTCGCAATTGATCTACATTAAGACCATATTAAAACAAAAGCGTATTTGCGATAATTGTTAGACATCAAATGTTATCCAAGTCGAAGATATTGATTTGACGGAACAGAAAAAACTGTTCTGTTACAAGTCAACTTTTTATTTTTACGTATTTCACCTTTTGGAGATGACAGTGGTGATAACAGGAATCCGGTAATAATTCAGTTTATTTTTTTATAATAATTTTATTTGATAAACGCGTAATACCGTGAAGTATCATAGAGATAAGCGTGCAGAACGAAAATTATAGAAAAGCTGTAGAGGTTCTATCGTATATTTTCATATATGCATATCTGCAAGATATTGTATTAATACGATTTGTGATGAAATTGTAATTTTGTCTTATTATTCGGATCATTTTATTAAACTGCGAAGATATTAATTTTTTTTGCTCTTTAAAACTTTGCATGTTTATAGTATTTTTCATGTTTAATTTTTAGTTTTGCATTTGTTAGATAAGTTTTAACGCCTTCATCAATGCGATACAAGCAACGAAAAGATCGCATGAATAATGATTCAATGGTCGTCGAACACCTCTAACGCACCGTACAGTTAAATGTAAATAAGAACAAATGATTCTCAGCTCTCATACAGCTACTAAATCATACAGCAAAACTGTATGTCGCGTAGAAAAGATTAAGGAAGAATTAAGTGCAGTGAATATTCCGATAGTTGTAACATTATTAATTTTGTTTTATTTTTTTGTTCTCGACTTAAATTTCAATATTTTTTAAATTAAAAAATATTTTAACGAGTTTTTATTAAAAGCATAATCAATTTTTTCTTATTAGCAAGTTGAAAAAAATATTAATTTTTATCATATTAATAAAATTTTCAAAGTTACACCTCAAATTTCATAATTCGAAAATATCAAAATTCTTGATATTTTTTATATTAAATGATCGTTGAAGGCGCGCGCTGCGTGCTAGTAATATAATATATCTTTTATTTTTTTTCCAAAAAAGAACATATATTAACTATTACTGCAATGACAAATCAAATCATAATCAAAACTTACCTTTCTTTCATTAATTAAAAAAATTATGTAATAAAGTTGTATGTATTTACATTAATATATATATATATATAGTTAAAAAATATATTCCAAGATATATAAAACTAAAAAAATGACATAAATCTTTACCTAGACTTTCGTTAAAAGAAGTTTAACAAAGATTAAAAAATAATGAATAAATGATAAAACATTGCACAAAGAATATTAATTTGTTTTTAAGGCTAATCTTAATCTGAAATAAAAGATAGTTTTGAAAATTTCCCTGATTTGTTTTCAGAAGAAATAAATTACGTTGTACAATTTCATCATTATTTTTTTATGAGATTAAATATGATTTTATTCTAAACGCAAAAAGATTTATATTGGTCTGCGCAACTTATTCAATTTATATTTAGTAATATGTCAAATTCGTAGATAAAATCAATGCATTTTATGTCTTATGGAGGACATATAGAGATATTGTGTAAATGCAGATCATATCATCTGTTTTGTTTAAATCAATGTTTTTTTTAAATTTCTTTATTATTTTTGCAAATTTGTGATTATAAATTACTTACCCTTGTATGTAAGATTCTAAGTATATTACCAAAATAAAATCATAATATAGAAAAAAAATATATATATAGAGATACACATATATAAATAGACGTTCACAGAGCTCTTGGAGATAGAATTATATATATATATAAACCTGCCTGTATAGTAGAATCACACTTTCCTCCAAAATTATGAACTAAATTGATTATGTAATTTAGCATTACCTTTTAGACTTTAGAAACTTCTTTCTTCTTTACACTGTCTCTCGTTCTCTCTCTTTCTTTCTCTTTCTCAGCTAAAACGTACGATGAAAGATAAGAGTTGATTGAGAACAAAGATGACCGAGCAGCAAACCACTCATCAGCGAAGAACAATGAAATGTAGAAGCAGAAAAGTAGTTAACTGCACCATATCATTGTGCAAAATCCACCGAAGAGGCCAAATCTGTCCTTGACACCTAACACACACACACCGAGTCGTCTAAAACCCTGCAACATACATCAAGGTCCCCCTCACTGTACCTAAACAATTTTACAATAAAATTATAAATTGCATTTGTATTCAACTTTTTTATTTTTGACAGTTATTATTCATCAAATTACAAATTTGAATTTCTTTCAAATGCATTCCTTTCAAATATAATTTATTAAAATGTTTTAATTTTTAACACTAGATGTTTTTATAATCGTTTTATATATACTTGATACAGTATTTAAAGAAAAATATGACAATTGTGAAATAGTGTGACACTTGCATTTCTTTCGATAAATATTTGTATTACATTAAACATTATCCTTCAAGTACATGTTATGATTAAAGTTCCAGATCTAATCTTAAAATGCAAACCTTATGTAATAGAGTTTATTTGAAAACAGAAAATTTAACAATGTTAATATAACAGAAATTAAATGAAAGGCTTGAAAAAATGCTAGAAATGACTTCTTTAGTATGAATATTTATTTCTTTTTGTGTGATACCCTTTTTAATTCTATTTTTCTTTTTACTTATTTTCTTCATTAAAAATAAATCAAAGTAATTTTTATCAAATTTATTGATGCATTATTAGTTATTGTAGTAACTGATTGATATTAGGAATAGTAAATAAATTATCAATTAAATATATCACAATTATTATTTTCTTATAGAAGCTCTTGTAAATTTTCAGATTTATTTTTCAATAATAATCGTAAAATCTTTTTCGAAAGTTTTCTCTCTTAGGTAATCGATTAGTTGTTCGAGCGTTTTCACGCGGCTTCTAAAGATACGCAAAATTTTTTTCTCCCACTTCATAATAAAGGGTTGAAGCATTATCAGCGGCTAATGTTCAAAGTATTACTCCATACCACTATCTCTCGCTTAGACACAAAAGACGAATATTTATCATACAATATTAACAATAAACAAATAAAACTTGATAAAACTTTTCGGCTTCAAGTATTTCATGACAGTTCCTATTTACGGATATATGCATCCTTCTACTAACACGTAATGCAAGCGTCTTTCGGCAAAAGAGCAAACCACCATATAGGGGATTGAGTAATAATGCACAGAATTGCATTCTGCGTCGATTCTGCGCATGGAGTGCGATAAAAAAATGTTACGAGGAAGAAAAGGAATTTTGAGAAACGTATAATATGTAAATAGAATGTTATCTCGGTCGCATTATCGCAATTTATCGTTGTGGCGTTGGGAAATGGGGGAGGAGGCCGAGAAATATCATAGAACGAAATATCGGCATGTGGCACGCCAGAATGTTGGACTCACCGAATTGCTACACAGAAGTGAAGTATTTCATGAAGAAGAACGCTGATTATAAACGACGACAACAATTTATGAACGCGACGAACGCCTGAATCGAGAGCCTGAGCCTCAACAAATTCGTGAGCAGTGGAAGAGCGTCGTAGAGCGTCGAAATGGCTGCCGTTGCCCGTTGCCGTGTCCGTGTGGTCAGTCGAGTGAACCCCGTGTAGATCATCGACTGTGGAAATACTAGATATAGGAATACTACTAGGGACTCTCACGCCGCGCCGCGCACCGCCCTGTGTAGGTTTCGAGTTTCGACACTGAGCGCGTCATCCGTTGCGTTACGAATTGACTTGACCAATCAAAACATCCCATTGTCGCCAAATAGAAACACTACCGTTTGTCGGTGGCGTGCATGCACTTTTACTGCGCTTTTAAATTTACGTACGTATTGTTTTGGCAACGAAATTTTTCAGATAAAAACGTTTTTCGACATGTAATAATTCTACACTTTGTGTATTATATTAGAATATAAAAGAATATTTCAAGTTTTAATTTGCACATACGTATATATGACACTTGATAGTATAAGGTTAAGGTAAAAATGTTTGTTTTGGCGGAATTGAAAGATACTGTTAGGATACCACCAAGTAGCTTTAAATACAAATTGAACGACGTGATTGCTGACGAATTAAACAGAAAACTTGCTAATAAAGTAAGTTATTTTTTTTTTTTTTTAGTAAAGATGAGATGATTAGTAAAGATAAACTCATTGTTATCGAGAAATTATTGTACATATTGTTATTACAGGTGTATAAGGATGTAGGTTTGTGCATCACATTGCACGATATTACAAAGATCGAAGAGTCATACATTTTTCCAGGAGACGGAGCTTCTCATACAAAAGTGACGTTCAGATTTATTGTATTTCGTCCATGGATGGAAGAAATATTAATAGGAAGGATTCGTAGCTGTAGTCCTGAGGGAGTACATGGTAACAGTTTAGTCATATCATTAATTTTTTATTATATATATGTTATTAATATTTATTTTTTTAGATTAAATATATGTAGCGTACATTCCCGAAAAACATTACCATTTACTTTCTATTTCTTTATTCACAATCTTTAATTCTTTAATCAACTTACAAAATTTAGGCATATATAAAATTAAGAATTGGAATTGAATCTGGGATCAGTTACAAGTCAATTATTTTCATATGAAGCTATGCGTCTCATTCGTCAGGTTATACATATTAATATTATTAATTAAAATATTAACATATTAATTTACGTTTCGTTTTGTCACAGTTACATTAGGATTTTTTGAAGACGTAGTCATACCACCTCATAAGTTACAACACCCATCACGCTTTGACCAAATGGAACAAGCGTGGGTTTGGATATACAAGACTGAAGAGGGAAAAACACATGATTTATTTATAGATGCAGGTGTCGTGTCTTATATGAATGCAATATTATTATTATATATATTAATCCAAAAATATAATCTCAAAATTAAAATATTAAATTTCAAGAGAAGTTTAATATTTTAATTTTGTGATTTATATTTTTGGATTGCAGAAGACATGGTACCTGCACCCATGTATAAATCGTATGTGTTTTTCAGGAGAAGTTATACGTTTTAGAGTAGTGAAGGAAATCTTTACGGAAGCACCTTTACCATCAACACTTAATGCAGCTCGAGATATAAATGAGCAACCAGAAGCCAATAACATTGCACCATATATTTTACATGTATGTTTACAAATTCTTAATGCTCTATTATTAATTCCATTTTCAGCAATATTAATGGGACAATATTTTATAGGGATCAATTGATGAACCTGGTCTAGGGGTACTTTCCTGGTGGGATAATACATAATTTATCACATACATTAATTCTAAGCAAACTAGAGGATACATTATTAAAAATACAGAAAAACCCTGGTCAATAAATTTTTATTTCACAGCACATTCCATTGTATTGTGTCATCATTAAACGTTGTATCTGTGAATAGTAATTTCACAGTATGACTCAGTTTTTCGATATAGCTTTGTCTGTGTAGATTTATGTTCAGTTTTGATTGATAACAGAATTATATAGTTATAGAATTATATAGGTATAGTTTGTACAATATATACAAAGGTATTATGTGCCAAACATATGACAACGCGTAGAAATAATCTTTGCATACAATTATTAGATTGCTTTGGAGAGAGAGATTATAATTTAATTTAACAAAACATTCCAGAGCTATTGCTATAATAATCACATAATCATCACACAGTTCTGACATTTATTTCAAAGATAAATTTTTTATGTATTTTTAGTACAAAAGCAACACAATAATATATTGTGCACACAATCGATGTTTCTTAAATTTCAGACTTTTCTCCAGACAATATATCTTGCTCATGTAAGTTATATCGTGCACATATGTATATATATATATATATATATATATATATATATATATATATATAATCCACAAAAAATGTTAGCGAAAAGTCTTGAATTAAAAAAATATTGATTGCTGATATATGTACATACGTTGTATTACGTTTTTAAAATTTGGTTTATATCTTAGATGACTAGCGCAACAATCGTAAATTAACATTCTTTGGCATTCGATTACTGTTGCCCTAATCAATAACTCAAACGTGTAGCGCTTGTATAAATTGATTAATATGATGCATTTAGTCATTAATAGCTTATCTATTCGATATATATGCCAATAAAAGATATAATACGACACATACTGACGTAATAATAAATTATTAAAATTATTATTCATTTGTGTTGAAATACGCGAAATATATCTAATTATGTATTACATTAATATATATACTTAGTTGGAAACCACAAAGAATACAGCTAGTAAAAAGTCTTAAATTTAGAAAACACTGATTGCACAGGGATATATGAATTAGATAATATACGGATGACGACGTTACTGTACGAGTGCTACAATTATAGGTCATGATTTTTTATCTATAATACACGTATTAAACAAATAACACGAATCATGTACTCATGAATAGATTGCCGGGGAGATAGTACAACTTGGAATGTTACCTTCTGTGTAATTGATATCTGCTAAATACTTTCTTTCAAGCAATGTGTGAAGTATGTTGCAACTATTAATTGTAAAGAATAGAACAGTGCACACTCGATAGACGCATTCCGGCGAAGACAGTAATCGGACAACAACAACATGTAAACGGTATGTGTTCCTACATAAATTCACTATCAAACTTCTTCGCGGCTGTTGCGTCCGTCAAATGCGCTTGATGCCGTAGTTTAAATGTATGTGAACCAATTAGAATTCATGTATGTACAATATAAATTTATCACAGTTCTAACTGTTGAGTCTCTTGCCATGTGTTTATTTGGACTTTCTCTCTATATTACTAGGAGGCAAAAAGAAGGACTCACTGATCTATCTCGCTTTTCTAATGCATTATCAATCCTTTCTAATGTACAATATTGAATTCTCTCTCATTTCTGTACATGATCATTACATGTATGAGTTTTCTTTTTGTTTTGTCTAATCGATACAAATACAATCGCAATAGTTCATACATGCCCGTAATATGATTACGTGACAGAATGAAAAAATACGAACGGAAGTGCTTGGGACGTTAATGTATTAAAAATGTCTATGCGTTACATTGAGGGCTAGTGTTCTCTTAGACCATTACGAGGAAAATGTAATATTATTTCATTATCTGGACGTCAGTTGTTTCTATCAGTTATACTGTCTTTCATTTGTCATTCAAAATATTGCTTTCTGCGAACTTCTCAGTTAAAATCTGTTTCTCGCAGTTTAATCCTTTCTGTTTGACACATATGTTTGCATATAAAGGAATTTTATTTATAAATATTAAATATTTATTCGATGATTAGGCAACGTGGTAGATGTTCACGTAAATAGTCAAACAGTTCTCGTGACGTTCCTGGACAATTGGTTAGTTCTAACTCGTGTAAGTGTCGAAGTTGTATCAGACTAGATAAACCACTACTTGTGAGCAATGGACAACCTATGTGAAAAATTTAATCTTATTTAATATATCGATCTAAATATCAAATATGCAATTAAGTTTACGTTTAAACTTGATTTGAATTTTTCTTGCGCGAATTAAATGTAGCAAAATTATGTATAATTAATGAAAATAATTATGTTGTACGTTGAGATATATTTTTCTTAGTTATTCTAAACTGATATTATATTTCATCTCACTTGACATTCACCTCTATATAGAGAGATTTCTTTTTTAAGCATGTATATATTTTTTTAAAGAAATTAATGGTTTTTGTTTCTCTATAGTGTGAATGTAGAAAATAAATTTTATACTGTATACTTTGTTACACAAAGTTTACAACATTTCATCGCACAAGAAAAGTTGCATAAAATAATTACGAAATAAATAATTGAATTGCTAATGCGATCTTCTTACCTGCCACGGATAACACTTGTAGAGATCTCATGACGCATAAGTGTTGAAGTCCAAAATCTCTAAGTTGCGAACACCATCTCAAGAATAAAGCACTCAACGAAACCATCGTGGAGATATAACCGACGCCGATATCAGTAATGTGTACGCACCTGTACAGTAATATGAAAAATATACGATGCAAAGAAACAAATACAAATACAAATAAATGCATAATCCTAAATTACACGATATATTAGCAACACAACAAGATGCGTACAGAGATTTATTACTGTTTATGACAAATCTCTTGGTTGAAAGTAATTACGAATCTAGCTATTTCAATAATTTTTTTTTACCTATCTAATGTGAGTTCTTCTAAATTGTTCAAATCACAGGCGATATATTCTAAGGCTGCATCTGTAATCCTTGAGCACCAGCTGAGATCTAAGGAACGAAGTCTTGGCAAGTTTTCCGCGATTAATTCAACACCGTCGTCTGTTACTTTACTGCATCCAGAGAGCGACAATACAGTCAGATTAGGCAAGGAATGCACTAAAACAGAAACGAATATATTAATTTAATATTTTAAAATTACACATACAGGTAAAATATATAGCTTTACTTTAAAATCATACAAAAGATACAAAGAACGTCTTTCGAATACAAATGTTGATATATACAATTATATTATATCTATTATGTTTGCCTTTCAGAATAGAAATTATATTTCAAAAATGCGTGCATAAATTTCATTATTAAATTTACGATAAAATTTAAAGCTGACTCTTTCTAAAGTGAAAATTTGATTTTACATTTATATTTTTCATTTTAATTATTTCGTAAATTTAACTAATGTAAACTAATTGTACGGTTCAAAAACACAAATATTTGAATTATAAAGTTTTATTATTAACATAATTCTCTCTTGCAATGTTTGATTTAAATAAAGTATAAAATGGTTATCTGCAAAGTACACACGCTCTTATTTTCTAGAACACTAACTATAATTTGAGTCTGAGCTATCGGTGACAGCTAAATAAAGCTATGTTCCTTAATTCTAAATTTAATCTCGAGCACGTATACGCCTGTCTTTATTTCTGTCTATTACTATTGCTACTGCTATACATTTAATTAACTTCGTTATTAATAAAACTAGAATTTAAAATTACCAAAAAGCTCTGTTTTTCGAAAATAATTTCATGTTTTGCGTGTGATTATAATTTACCCCTGATCATTACTTGAATTCCAACAAGGGATAAAATTTTTTCATTTTGTAACTTTTTTCTTAAGAATAAAGTTTCATTATTTCAATAAACGTAAATTTGTTTTTATTTTTAGAGCTAAAACTACTGCAATAACCAAATAATACATTTTTATCTTTTTTTATACATAATTCAAACTTTCTAAAACATGTCTCATATTAATACATACACACTCACATATATACATATATAATACAATGCATATAATACATATGTGTATAACATCAATAAGATGAAGAAAAAGAAATTGTAAACGAAACATTATCCTATCTTAAAATTGCCGTGTTACCTGCGTTGAAGCCTCTTTTCCCCAATGTTTAAAAATTCATATCTTCCAGAAAAATAAAGATATAGACTTCTTTCTGGGCTCATCTTAAAGATCAATTATGTGGCTGTTTTTTAAGAAGTCGTGATTTTATTTAAAAATGGCCAATTCAAAATGGCTGATTAAAACGTCATTTTTTTGAAAATTTATTTTTTTCAAAAATTGTTAAAATTTGTTTAATTAAAATGTAAATTATAAATTTAATTATAAATGTTATTGGAAGATGTATGGGATTTAATACGCAGAAGCGCGCGCTTGTTATGTACTAGTCGAAATAAAAAAAGAGTGATAACGACTCTCACCAATATTTACTACGCCATGATTTGTGAGCTCCCAGCAGGATTGCAGCTTCAGGATGCTGAGTGCGCTGCTTTGCTTTGCACTGAAGTAACCGAGCGCAGCGTCAGTAACGTGATAAGCTTGCAGAGAAAATTCGTAGAGGCTCGGCAACAGCTGAGCCACGGCGCCGACGGCCTCGTCGGCGACATTGATGCAATCCGACAGAGACAACGACACTATTCTGGGGGTAAGACATGCCCACAAGCCAGCCTCTGTTATCTCATTGCATCCGGCCAATTCAAGCTCGTACAAAGCCTAAAAATAATGGCATATCGAAAAAAATCGTTCGACAAGTTCTCAAAGCTCCCTTAACGAATTCTACAATTCTAGAATCTATTATTATTATTTATTTATCGGTATTTATTACACATAAATGCAAATTTGTACATAAAGTCAGGATAGCACTCCACAATAGCGCTCTAAATAAAACGGAAAATAAGCATATCGTCGAAAATTTACCTGTAAATGATCCAACAGAGTTTCGAGACCTCTGTCCGTTACCGCGCAGCACCGTAATGATAGAGAATGCACGTATCGTTGAGCCAATGGGAAACCGCGTGTTAATTCCGGAATATCTTCGTCGGTCGCACCTAGGAGAACTAACGAATCGAAGCCTCTTCTCACTAAAGAAGCGTAAAGTCGGGTACGCGCGTTCGGTTGCATAGCGCGAGCCTCGCGGCATCGCACCACCGGTACCAGTCCAGTCCAAAGACGCGGTCTTGCATACAAAACGTCTCTCCATCTCGTGCAAACCTGCAGTGCAATAACGACAATGCGATGTAGTTAAGCTAAACACACATTTAACTTTAAGATGAAACTACTCACAAAGATACTGTGTATCGTGATACAGCGATATTCTTTTAAGTGTATGTATATTTTGAAATAGAAAATTTCATTTTATTCGTCACACACCTGAGCCAATATTCTTCTTTCCGTAGCGTTAAAGTAGAGAAAAAATCGCCCTAGGAAATTGTCGTCTTGCATCAGCTGTTCCCACGTAGTCGGTGGTACGTAACCGCCGGTTCCTCCACTAGCGAGGGGAACCGCTATCTTCATCCTGTTTCTGGGTACTCTAGTTCTGCTCGGAGTGACGTTATTCAAACGTTCCTTATTATTGCCCGCTGGTACGTTGTTGATGGTGGTCTGCGTGGCACTCCGACTGGGCTTTTCGGGTGTCGCGTTTGCATTATTCGCGCTTTGCAAATTCATATAAGCAACGCTACCACTGCCGCCGCAGAAGACATTCGTCACACGTTCCATGACGCTGGTCTTACCGCTTCCTAAAAAATCAGTCAGGCCAGTTTTAACATTCTCCATTCTTCGCGTGTTAAAAAGATAGCAAGTTTGCAGCAAGGTTGCAAATAAACAGTAATTGAAACAACGAGCGGAAAAGGAAACGAGAGATTTTGGAGCCGTGAATGGAATTTTATTACGAGAATATGCAAAGCTAAAGAATTTGTGAAAATAAAAATTTATAAAATTAAAGCAGAAAAATCAAAGGAATAGAAGAGCAAGAACAACATTTGTTGGATTTGAAAAGGAAAATTTCTACATATTGGATTTTAGAGAAATTAAGAATTTTTAAAAATATCTTATATTTCATCTATTAATACTATTAATACTATTTGCGCGAAACATTAAGAGTTTATTGAATTGAAAAAAATTAAAAAGCCATAAAATTTTAAAAGGTCGTAAAAAGAAGGATCTATATGAAATTTAGACGGCAAAAAAGGTGTAAGATGACAAAAAAGGCACATTAAGCAATTGCGAACATTTAAATAATTGAATGATTCTTCAAGGATATACTTTGTTTGAAGAAATTCAGTTATTTAAATATTTGCAATTGCAATTGCTTAATGTTAATGCTTTTTGACATCTTACGTAATATTATAAATTCCATATGGATCTTTCTTTTTACAATTTTTTAAATTTTATGGCTTTTGCTTGGTACAGTTTTGTTGCGAAATATGATATAAAATTCATCAGTCGAAGAGAACTTTCCGCTTTTATGAATCGATATCATTAGCGTAATTATTAGCATAATTATTCTACGTAAATTTTTCTACGTTAAATCTGCGAAAAATCTGGCATGACAGAGCTCACTCAAAGCTCCTGGCTGTTCTTGTTTTCTTTCCGAGCTATATGTTCTGTTTGGCTCGTGGTATACCGCTATTTCCTGTCACCATTTATCTTGCAAATTATTTTTATTTTTAGCAACTGCATTCTCTCTGAATTATTTTGTACGAATGGCGATAAAATCAATTATGACTAACAAGTAGATTTAGTTAGATCAATATTTAATTTTAAATTAAATTGAGCTAACTATATTTATGAGATTTTCGTACGTATTTTTAGTATGCATTTTTGCTATTTGCATTCTGTATTTGTAATTCTCTGATTAATTATTTAAGAAAGCAAAACGCCATTTCGCTTCTGTAACATAATAACGTATGTTAGTAACGCGAGTAACTTGACAAATTTCTGACTGATACTATAAACGATAAAGTTATACTTTGGCCCGATGGTTAAATATTTCAGGCTCAAAATATGATAGATATACATCTACGTACGACGTAGAGAAAACAAAAGAAATTAAATAAAACTTAATTATTAAATACACGAATTCAATTTTAAAGCAAGTATTTAATCATATTTTTTCGAATCAATAATTAAAGTGATTAAAATAATTGTTTGGTTCTTTAAGTCAGCATTCACGGTACCTACTTATATATGTATGTATATGCGTGTACGATAGCCATAGAAACCCTCTAAGGTTCGTGCCTTTTGTTACTTCGAAATTCTCTAGCTAGTTATGATTCCTCTAATTACGATTTTGCCATCACAGGCCTAATGTCTGCCGGTCATAGATATTGAATATTTCCTGTTTGCGCATCTTCAACCGTAAACGCGTTCAACGCGTTTTTAAACATCAAAGATAACGATCAATCACGGCCCCGAAATTACAGCGCGGCGCGCGTTTAATAAGGATAGAATCAATGTGTGAATCAGATTAAGGCGTTTAACTTTGAACCACGTACGTTTTTATTCGATTCTGAAATCTGACTGTATTTAGAGAGAATTTCCTCATCAAATGAGAAAGTAAAAGAGAACCGTGCGATTACCGTGAAGCGCGCGATCTAAACGGCCGAGTAAATATAATGGTTCGAAAAATGTGTTTCATTATACTCGAGTTAGTAATATCGCCGCTATTTTTGCGTGCATGAGGACGTGTACTATCGATTCCATTGCAGTTAAGATTGCGACGACGAAAGTCACGTAGCGGTGCTGCTTAATAAGTTATGGAAAAAAAATATATCGCGTGTAGCAAGGTTTTGCGAGTTTTGTTACCGCGTTCGTAATAAACACGTCGCTCAAGCGACATTACCGATAGATAAAAAAAAAAGGAGACAACAAAGAAATGAGAGATTAGTTTTCGCAGAGATCGATTCTACATCGCGATTACGTAACAACAGCCCAAACCAAAGGGGGTTCCGAGACGCGCTGAGCGAGAAAAATCGCGGGATCGGCGTCGGCATTGTCGGCATTGCAACCCTCCGCCACACACTATAGCTTTTTATTTTTCCTCACCGTTCAAGCGGAAGATAAACTTGACATCGATTCGTGAAGGAGATATCTCTTCCTATATCCCTGTGCGAAAAAGAAAATCAAAGCTAATGCGGATTTAACGTCCGGAGCGTACGACGCGTTACGCATGTTACGCACGCTACTATGAGCTACCTACGTGTAGGAGGTGGCGGTAGAAAAAGGCAAGGGAAGCATAGAACGGATATAGAATAGAATTAATGGACGGATAAAGAGGAAATTTAATTTAAGTTTCATCACTGACCATGATGTTTTGACGTCCGTAATCCCAGGCCGTTGATTCGTTTGGTCAGTTCGGCGCTGGCACGCTCGACGACGCCCTGCGCCGATATCGAAGACATGATATCTCGACGAGGCACTCGATCCGTCTCGTTCCGCACTTGTCTTTCGGCGTTTGCGCTTCGTAGTCAAGAGTAATACGATACGATCTGCGGATGACGGGGTCGCGTCATATTCGACCCGATGATAGCAGGATATGGTAGGTGGCGAGTCTCCCTCGCGACCGACGCCGACGCGAATGAGGACGCCGTGCGCCGGCGGCGGCGGCGGCGGCGGTGGCGGCTCACGGCACTCGTCGTCGTCGCGACACGCTCTTAGGGGCTCAGGGCTCACAGGGGGATGATAGCGCACACGAAGATATGATGGCAGCGCGCGCGAGCGCGCGCGCGCGCGCCCGTTCGCCCGCGCGAGATTCTTTCTCGCACTGCTACTGGCTTATACTTTCTCTTCTATATTTCTCAATCTCTCATCGCGCCACATCGCGCGTCATAGCGATGATGATTCTACGATTTCACCTCAGTCTCGGAAAAAAAAGTGAAAGGGAGGACCAAAGCACACAAGTTACCCGAGAATCAATAATCGCGATCGGCGCGGGATAATCCGCCACGTAATTCTTCGGGGTATCCGACGCACGGTTGACGGTCAACGATGTTGAGCTACTTCGTATCAGCGATATTCGTGTCGTCGTGCACATATGTACGTTTCTGTCTGTCTGTCACTGTTTACATGTCAACGGGCATGGCAAAAGCAAAACTCGAGCGCGCTGCCTGCTACCGTTGCAGCGGTACACGTATAAGGGTGGTTTGCGCGAGACTGAATCGATATTCGCGTAGCTGAACTTGTCCGGTTGCCTCTTCCCCACCCCCACTTATCGGCTGCCTTCCTGGCGCGTGTGCCAGCTACTTACGCCTCTGCTGCTGATGGCGAACCGCTTCAACGGAATCGTGCGCCTATATACAATAATGCAATATCGCACTTGCCGCGGTTACGGTCTTTCGGGTTTCTCGTTAATCAGGAATTGAGTGTTATATTTTTAACACATTTTTGTACGATATAAAGATTATGACAACGTATGTATATTTTATATATATATATATATATATATACACACACACTCATACATATATACATACATGTACGTAGAATATTACATATAAAAGAGTTAAAACTGAATTTTTCGATATGATTAAAAATTTTCGTTTGACGCAATAATTTTTCCAGTAGAATATAGCTTCTTTTTTAATTTATCGATTTTCTATTTTTCTAGGCTTTAAATACTTCATTTATTAACAATAAGATCTCTTAAATGCTTTAGTTATTTAGTTTTTAATTTTTTCAATGATTCAAAATAATTTTTTTATCTTTTCAATGATTTAAAATCTTTAAATTTTTTCAATGATTCTACATCTTTTTTTATTTTTTCAGTGATTGAAAATGTCAACAACAATCTTTCCCTTTAATCTCTTCAGTACGACGCATGTCCGCCGCGTAGTTTATTATTACTTGATGATTGAGACAATTCTTATGGTTGTAGACTTTAGTTTTTAGTCGACGACCGGTTATATACATATATGCCTTTCGTGGCTGTCAACTTTCGACGATCGTCGACTGAAGGGATTAAGATCTAGCATTTAGTTACATCGCCAAAATAATATCGGTAAAATAGTACAGATAATATGTGTAAACCAAGATATTCAGCCACTGATCGAGACTTTTGAGACACCTTATATCCGTCGGTGACGTTCGAACGACGTCAATAGCTAATGTTTACCTTCTTGCAAGATTGCATTATTGAATGCAATTCACCCACGTATCGTATAAAGTGTAAACGACAATTTTCTTTTCAAGGAGGTAAGGAATCGCGATATAACGTGGCAAAACTTTAACAAGGTGACCAATTAATGAGAAATTGTATATTATTCATTTTAACATTTATACATCGTTGTATTGGATGTAATATCTCTGATTTTCGTAATATAAAAAAAAAGTTTCATGCTTACGCTATCTTGAGACCAGCAATGGAATTCTCTAGAAGCTTAAGACAAAGACAAAGATCGATTAGAATGTATCGTAAATACTAATATTAAAACATGCACGACACAAATTACCTTCAAGTCCCAAACTACAAGTTGTCCGTCTAAACTGCTTGTGCTAAATTCATGATCGGATACTCGGCGAACACAGTTGATTGTGTTTTGATGCACGCTATCCAAAGCATTATCGTTCGTCTCATTCCTCGCTTGTCGATCTAGCGACTGGAATTTTCGCATAGCAGATAATCCGGCAATCTCCTTTTTTTGCGTGTTGTCCAACTTTGAAACAAAATATATCTGTCCGTTGTCATCTACGGAATATAACATTGGCATACAGCTATGCCCCTACGAGATTGAGAAAATCACAATTAGTACAAATAAATATCGGGGATAATAATCTTAAAGATCTCGTTTGAGAGTTGTATCGCACTTACAGCGGCAACAATGTTATTAGAACCTATCCAAATGCAACTTAAAAACGGTAAATGCTCTGTATACAGTCTCATGACTGCATTTCCTTTAGTAGCATCAGCGACACATATAGACGAGTTGTGCGCCACCCAACAGATTTTATTGCCACACGGACTGAACGCTACTGAATGTATCCAGCCACCTAAATGGGGAGGGGAAAAGCAATGATTTAAAATGCAATTCTTTATATATTATATTAGAGAGATAGAAAATAATTACTAATTTGCATATCTTATATTTCATATATCAAATCAATCAATAATGATAAAAAATGAATGATAAATATGTAGAATAAAAAATGATCAGTTATATATAATTTTACCTCCGTTGGGCGTATTAGGAAACTCAGCCAACAATGTTCCTAAGGAATTGCTCTGTCCCCAAGGACTAGTACCAGGAGCATCCTCCATATCACTGATAAATGCACTGAAGACACGGACCTTGTAGTCCGTCGATCCCGCGACCAGAACCTTGTTGTCCGGATGCCAGTCGACGGTAGTTACCGTAGACCTCAATGGACGCTTAATATGTTTACATAACCACCAATTATTCTCTGATACGAAGTAACAAACAGCTATAACTCGTCCCCCGGAGCCCACGGCAAATTTATTTTCTGCAATAAAGAAATAGTGTCTTTGTACAGCGAGTTGCAACAAACTCTTGGATTCTTAAATTCTTTCATACGTGCATAGATGAGTACCTAGAGGAGACCATTTTACACAGGTAGCGGCTCGATTTATTCGCAAGAGAACCCAAGCGGGATCCCACTTGCCGTCCTCTTTCTGGGTCCATACATAGGCGTTCTTGTCTGCGGAACAGGTGACTATGCGATTAGTTTTTGGCGCCCAGTCGATTCCCATGACAGCCATGTGATGTTCCTCCAAGGTCTCGAGCAACTTCCATCCGGATGAAGTACTACGTTTGTGCACTTGGATCTCATTGTTGTTCGGGCATATGGCAACCTCTGCGAAAATTCGTTGGTTCAATTGTCGCTTTGTCTAATTAAATCTACCTAGCGATCTATAGCTAGTTGGAAGGAAAGACGGTCTACCAGTTTTATCTCTGTTCCACGCGTGACAGCTGATGGCATCGACACCCAAGTTGTGAACCTCCGTCATCGCTTGTGACGTGCTCGTTCTCCGCTTGTCACTTGTTCTCAACGATGTGGGCGCGTGGGCGCGGGCAAACGAAAAGCTCGGCAAATCGACAACTGCGAGCCCGCCGCGACTGCTAAGTGACAGTGTGCCGACGGGCAACGGTGATGAATCAGAAGCTCGGACACTCGACTTCACTCGACTACTCGAGGCGCGAACGCGGGCTCGACGGGGGGGGCGCGGTCACCGATTAAACTTTATATTTGACGAGACTCTGGCGTTCGTGCGATCGTGTGCACCGGCTGTGTTCGCGGAAATTCGCGGACTCTGGTCAGTCTACACGAATTTCCCCGGCCTCTCCTCACGGTCGCAAAACACGCCCCTCTGCACACCGGAATTGACAGTTCATCCGTAGATAGCGGGCTCCTCTTTGAGGTTATGTTCTCCCGGATATACGTATGTATTGCAGACGCGCCACTCGATTTTTACAATTTCGCAGTTTCGCTACGAGTTACGAACACTTACGACACGACGATCTCTCGGGTGTGTTCTAAAATGCGTGGAATAACCTATTTATATCTGGGAATCTGTTCGTTCCAAAACACATAGTAAATATAACAATTTTATGCTATTCGGCAAATTATTTAATTTTATTTATTAAAGTAGCATTTTTCTCATTAATATCTAATTGCATTCGTCGCGTTTGTTTTCTCTACTTTTTTCCTCCAAAGAGTAACAAGTACATTCATGTGCGTCATATTAAACACAGCAAGTGCAGATGAGACGACGCCCGTGATCGTCGCGACGTGATTGGTTCCTTGAGTTCCTTCATTTGAAATTTCTCAACATCGCAATTTCGCGATTTGCGCGCCCAAAACGTTAGTGTCGTTAGTTCTAGAGGCATGCCGGGACGATGCCGGGACGATGCCGGGTCGCATGCATCCAAGTGTATCTCTGTATCTCTGTGATCGCTTAAATCGGTATCGTTTAAAAGAGTATCTCGCGTGTGAATACAGTGTGTACGTGATGGATATATACACACACGTAATGGAATACAGTGACGGAATGCAGTGAAGGAATACAGTGAAGGAATACAGTGATGCAGAATGCATGGTGCAGACGGAATGCAGTGACGGAATGCAGTGAAGGAATACAGTGAAGGAATACAGTGACGGAATGCAGTGAAGGAATGCAGTGACGGAATGCAGTGAAGGAATGCAGTGACGGAATGCAGTGACGGAATGCAGTGAAGGAATGCAGTGAAGGAATGCAGTGACGGAATGCAGTGAAGGAATACAGTGACGGAATGCAGTGAAGGAATACAGTGTTGGAATGCAGTGAAGGAATACAGTGTTGGAATGCAGTGTGATGCAGTATGTTTTGTATACGTGTAGATCACGAGCTGTGCTTTGTGTGGTGCGTCGGAGTACCGGCGATCCGGAGCTCTTGTGCTCCGTGGAGCATCGACCAAGGAGCTGCCGTTCTAGCCTAGCCGATCTAGGATATTTTGGATATTCTGCTCTAAATACAACCAGGAATGCCAGGATACGTGTGCAAGGATCATCGCCAGGTAATTTATGCATGTACTGATAATCAGGAATTAATATCTGTGACTTCGTCGAGCTGTCTCAATTTTCAACACGAGAAAAAACGTATACGGTTTGCAACTGCGCACTGCGTTCCGTTAATTCGCGATCCGGTGGTGAATTTTGACATGTTCAGGTCGTACGGCGTCGATTCGATGGAAAATCCGATGTCGGATACAGTTTTTTCAGAGATAAGGCGACAGATTCGTCAAGTGCGATCCGCGCGATCATAGGGACGCTTAGCTAAACGTTACTGTTCAGTGCAATATGGCAGATGTGCGACAATTTATTAGGTGACTTTCACGCGATCGTACTACCCACGCCATCCACACGCCGGATCTTTCGCGAAATGAAAACGCGACATCGATATTATCGACTCTCGAATAGATGCATATAGCTTTCCTATGGTAATATAGTATATATGTTAATTATACTTGAGATCGCGTCGGTAACCCACAATAATTTACCTCGAGAGATAATCACGATTTCGTTCTACGATTCGGTCGGTACGTAACCAGTCGCGATGTTATCATAACGTGCGAGGGCGCATTAGTCTTCGAAAGCACTCTCCAAATGCATTCTCGAATCGATCTGCGACAGACATAAATCTTTTCAGGATTTTTTTTTATTATGATAAATTAAACGTAGCGAAAAGCGTTCACTTGTTCGACCGTGCGTTTTACGATTTTTAAATACGCAATAACAATTTAATTATAATATATATATATATATATATATTGACAATTATAGAGAGACAGAGACATTTTTTATGAGATATATTGAGCCAATTACGTTGTAAGGCTTAATATGTCACATAAAAAATATGAATTAAATTGTAAAGTAAATTGTAATGTTGTATATCAGATTAATTCATTACTCACATATATATATAATATTTGAGCTAAAAACTTTTTGTTTATATTAAATATTAACATTTAAAAATTAAATATTAAAATTAAAAATTATATACTTTGTATACTTGTGCAAATGCAAAGAGAGAATGAAGAGAGAATGAAGAGAATAGTTTATTAAATTAATATAATTTACAGATTTAATTAAATTTGCTTAAGGCAGACTATAATTTCTCTTATTGTTAGTCATTAAATGAAATGGCCTATTTGTCGCGTAATATTAACAAAATATTAAGTGCTATTCTCTATAACTTCACATTTTCAAAATTTGGAATTTGCTAGTTATATTAAAATGATATGTATACAGCAGCATATATTTTGCTTTACTATGCAAAGCGGCTTTTTACTCTGCTGGCTCTCTCAAATTAACTTTTAATGGAATTAGCGAAATTCTATTACTGCATAGATAAAAGCTCTCTTGTACCTCGCGGTACATATCAAAAGAGACTTTTTAATATTTAGTACAATCCGATATAGTGGAGTTATTATCTCGTTTTAGCGGATAGATAAACATGATATTAATGTATTAATGTGTTCCTACAGAAGTGGTAAAATTTTTACATAAAATCGCAAAAGTTTTAACAGCAATAACTACCGATAGATATCAAAATGATATTTATTTATTTAAAATAAATTTAGCTAAAAATGCAGTTTTGTACGTGCAGTTCAAATTGGTTCCCTTTATTCGTGATTGCGATCTTATTGAAAAAGAATAATCTTCATCTCTATCTTCAAAACGGTATTTTTATTCTGAAAGAATAATCTTCATCCCTATTTTGAAGACAATAATATCACCTTTTCCATTATCTAAATAGCTCTATAGTGTCGACTTTACGAACGTTGTAATGCGAATACAATATTAGATGTGGTTATACTGAGAAAACCGGAAAACCACCTTTGCCACCGAGAAATCAGTCCCTCGAGAATTGACCGAGTCTGAGTCTGGCAAACAAACTGGTTAGACCACGTACTATGCTATCTTGTATTTCGTACTAAATAACTGTTTTCTAAGAGTGCCAAGTCGTTTTCGAAATCGACTATTCGTCAAGCTTGAAGCTTTACTCTTGGTACATGCTAATCTGGATAAATTCAATCCCAAACAACTTGCTCGAGTAATAAAAATAGAAAGACAAATAACTCTGTTGCAATTGTAGTGCCAAAGAATATCACACGTGTAATTGAATGTAGTGCATGGAAAATATAAATTTAGATACTGGATTATTTTTAACCAGAAATTTAAACAAACACAAATTTTTAATTTTTAAATTCATGAATTCTTGATACTTTCGAATTTAAACGAACAAAAATGTCTCTTTTATATTATATTAAATATATGCACCATGTATATAAATAAATGTATTTGATAATTTAGACTACTTATATAAATTTTGCAAAGATTTTAACATTCGTTGTTTTATAAAAAATCAAAGTTTTGCAATTGTGTACGTGGGCATAACTGAAATTTGGTATCCAATTTTTTCATGTATAAGTCTTCTTAATCGGTTTTACTATGGCTTATACGTCAGATACGTACATGTACAATTGTACATATACATTTTACGTTTTGCACGAAATGAAATTCCAAGAGAATTTTTTGATTATATTTCATTCAATTGTTTCGAAGATACAAAAGCGCTCGTTTGAATGAAATTGAATGTATAAGTTGTAACCTTTGGTAATCTATAAGAAATGTAATATAGAAAAATAATATTATATACATTTGTAGCTGAATTCTTTATTTCTACATTTCTACAGAGGTTTATGTTTTCGAATCGATAGCTGCGCGCAGGTTATTCTCAATACAAGCATGTATTTCGGCGATATTTTCATTTATGAACTATTTTTAAAGTTAGTTTTCACAAAAAAAATTCCATCTTTATACAGATATAGAAGCTATCTATAAAATACAAATTTTAAAAATAAAAATTATAAGATTATAGCTTTGTTAGTTATACAAATAAGTCAACATTTTTGTAAATAATTGGTATAGAAAATGCCATGGAATTTTTATTTATTGTTTTTTCTCGTTTTTATCTTTGTATAATTCAAAGATTACTTTGCTATTCAAAGACTAAATTATTTATACGTGCAGGAACGATGAAACTATGGTAAACATACATTGAAATATCTGGATTGGCCTTTTTCAAAAATGTGTACTCTTCAAAATTGTATTATTAATTTTATTATATAGAATATACAGCGCGTTATGGATTGTGTACATACGCTGATCATGTTTGTATTTTTTATTTTAATTCAAATGAGCTATACGTTACTCACGACTGTCATGTTTAGATCTCGAGACTGCGTCTGGTGCTATTTAAGTCTTCAGCAACGATATGCAGAGAGCAAATCTCATCTGGCTCGACGAGAAGAAATTTGACAGTAGCGCGTAGGGAGATGAAAACGGGCAGAGATTTAAATTTTATTATCCTCTGTTCGTTAAATTAGCTCAATTCTACTCCTTTGCATTTCGTTTTTACGTAAATTACGAGTTATCAGTTTCCGTCGTAGGCTTCTTCTTCCTTCGATCTAATAAAGTCATGCGATAAACTGTGAGAGAACGGCGGCATTCCGATTTCCTATTTAAATTATCCTCGCGTCAGCATCGCTCGTCGAAGGTAACGATGAGCAGGAAAATATGGAACTTCAATTTCCCCTTCTCCTACGTGTCGAAGATTCCAGGCGATGTATCTAATAAAATTTCCGCTAAAATATGCGATCTTGATCAAGTTGTTCGCTCGCAATGCTTTCGTTGGGATACAACGGAAAATTCCTTTATATATCGCTACTGAAAATTTGCAACGAAAAAATTTTGTCCACAAAGATGGACCAAATTTTCCATTTTCAATGATAATCGATAAATATTTTTCAAATTTTTTTATAATAAATTTTGATGTATAATAATAATAATAATAATAATAATAATAATTAATAAATCATCTTTGAAGTCTTCCAATAAATATATTAGAATTAAACGGATTAGTTTCGTGATGTCAGATACTAGACAGAATCGGATAATAAATGTCTAGGCGTGTTAAATTTCGTTGTCGCTTTCGTATTTTTGCGCGAAACTGCAAATTCAGCGCTAGGAGATACATTTAGATAAAATATAGACCCAATGGACACATTAATCTTGCCATATGTTTGCCGACAGTCTTATCGATGCAATCTTTCTCGATCGATAGGCATTTAGATACAAGGACATAACTATGTATAGCAAGTAATTACTATGTAATTTCTTATTTTTATTGACTATAGCATTATTTTTTTTCACTTGTACATTATTATGTATTTTGTAATATTACATAACATAATTAATGTCTTTAAGTCAGTTAAGAGATGTTATTAAATTCATGATAAAACAACATAAGATAATTAATTTAATGTTTGCTAAATGACCATATATTCTGCATTATATATAATATATATGATTGTTTGAATTTCAAATTTATAAATTTATAAATTTATAAAGTTTAATTTTTGAACAACTTTTAACGTTTTATTATTTTTTTTTGCAAATAAATACGTAAGAGCTAACTCGGTTCTTCACTCAATTTTTGTTGAGGTTTATGAGTAACATTTTTGCATCGATTTAATCACACTGTTCGTGTTAGGTATACGAACTTGTCGAAAATTTATGAGAAATTTCAAAGATTTGCATGTCGAACATGCAAATCCGCGATTGAGTTACTTCAACATTGACGTCCTGCCGTCGATCCCTATCGTTGGAAGGATATTTTAGTCGGTGATATTGAACGAGCGAAATGTCATCCTCGGCTTGCATATGGCCACGTACGCGTGTCATGAAAGGAATTTTATCTGATATCGAGTAATAGAGTTCGTGTTGAGGGTATCGAAGGGAGTGATGATGCAAAAAAAATGCCCATCAAAGGATGGAGATGTTTGAAGTTGCAGATACTATAATGAATAATCTTATAAAGAAGTTACAATTTTTTATATAAAATTTTTTGACGTACTTCAATTCTTTCACTTATATATAAATCGAGCATTTTCAAAATAGCCCAAATTTAAATTATAATAAATAAATAGCTATTAATTATACTTAAAAAAAAGATCATATTTAATATTTGATCCATATTATCGCATATGTATGTATGTATGTATGTATGAAAGTGCCGGAAGATTTATAATTTTTAATCGGATATCGTTAAAACGCGTATTACATTTTGTTATACGAATTTTGTAATTTGTATATTGCTGAAAGTTCGTTCATACATATTTTAATTATATACATATAACTTATGCGAAATTGAAAATGTTTAACAAAGCTGGTCCATTAGCTATTTCGGAATAGACCAGGATACATCTTCATATCTCTCGAGGAGTTATAAAATCTAATATTAGAATCGGTCTAACTTTGCATTTGCATAATCGCCGATTTGGATTTTACATTAGTATACTGTACATGGATACTGGTTATGAATATGTTAAAGAACGAATCTTATCGCATTGCGCGTGCTCTTATGAGCTGCTGTTGCATTTCAATTACAGTTGCTGATGTGCGACCTACATACATTTGATTCAGAATTTACTAATATATAAATCACTTTAAAAAGCGATTATTCGCCCGAATGCAATACAGGCATTACTTTGAAACTAAAAAATGTTGCGAATACATAAAAATATTAGTTTATTTCAACTTATCTGCTTTAATATAAAAAGAGCAGTAAATGTTATATTGTTAACCATGGTACAGTAACCACGAAAACTCTGGCTTCGGGCAATTTTTAAAATATTACCAGCATTTAAGTTTTATTTCTATAAATTATTTTTCTTATACAGATTTAGGACTAAAAAAATCTTTTATATATTCTTTTTTTTGCCACAGGCCATCAGCAGTTAACGCAACAGCAGGAAATATAATTCTCCACGTCGGTGCACCGGAAGCTGATCTGGAATTTTTATAAATATTTTTTAAGGTAAGTGTTGATTGTTGTAGGTTTGAGTAAACCGTCATCATAGTATTGTTAGTTTTCTAAAATTTCATAAATGACAAAAAATTCGTTTTTACATTCATTAAAAGAATAGAGTAATGTAAATCTTTTCATTCTTTTAATATCATTTGGCATACATTTGCTTGCTTTTAAAAAACAGTTTATTAAAATTCTTTATTTTATTTATTGTTATCGATATGTCGAGTGGCAGGATAAAATTTGCATAATACACGATCGAATGCGGGAGGGAATGCGCAATTGTAATTTATCAGAGTTATCCACTTGGTCCACACGTCAGCCGCGCGTCTGATAGCATCGAATGATCTGGCGAGATCGATGCATTAAATTGGACACGTATCATCACTAATGCAATGACAACGATAATGAATCTAATAAATCAATATGACAGCAATAATGCACATTGAAATCTTTGTAATCGAACAATGACAGATAGATCGAGTTATTATATTGACAGTAAAATGCCAAAAGTTAGTAACATCTGCACCGTAATCGCCTATCTGCTAAAGTTCCAGCCAGAAATGGAGCTACGGTAAATTAAGGGGATTTATCTCATCTACGCCTCCATCTTTATCGTTTGCAGACATTAATTCCGAAAATTGCTGTAGTAATTTAGTCGATGTTCTTCGAATGACTCGCCATTGCTAAGTGCGCAAGGAACTTTCCCAACTTCGTCATCCCGATGTTCGTCCTACCCTTTTATTACTCGAGAATTAGAATTTAAAATCCGAAAGCATTTTCATCTCCTGAAGATGCGGCGACCAAGTACCGCTTTGAGAATATCTTGTTGTTACCAGAGGTATATTCAGAATAGATAAAAACTGGCCAATTCTTTTGTTCAAAAACATATTATGTATATTTACATATATATAAAAATAATATATGTAATATATGTAATTATGATAAGCTGAATATTTAAAGTAATAGATACAGGTATCTTGGAATACGATATTCTGATGAATGTTTGGTTATAATGAAATGATATTATCTCTGCACCTTGGTGCTTTCAAGATAGGAAATTGATAAAATCAAGACTCCATTTAATATTCTAATCCTTCCATGTGTAATCTTATAAAGAATCCTGTTATTACAAAGTACCGTAATCTTAATGAAACTGATGATAACAACCAACGATCGTCTTCGTTTTGTTGGTGTCTATTTGAAATTAAAGTCAAGAGTAATTTTACGTCATGGTATATATCGAATTTGTGGTGTTGAACGGTTTGAGCGAGTTGAATGTAAGGATGTGGGGTAAGAACACGAAAGGGTGGAAAGCATATACCAAGGAGATTGCCTGCCCGTGTCGAATCTACGCGTAGCAGTTTCTGAAACTGTTTGTAATTTATGACGCGTACAACCCGACTAAACCGGAAAAAGCTATCGGCGTGGTCGTCATTGCAGTAATCCGCAATACCCACGGACGAAATATCCGGTGCGAAATCGTGCTTGCGAAACACCGTGCAATTCTTCGCTCACGTGGATTATCGCTTTCCAATTGGCGATTGTTTCTTCAACGAAAAGTAATCGTCGAAAGTTTGTAAATATAATATGGTTGCTGACCGGGAGGTGTTATTGACTGAAAGAGATATCGTTTAAATTAGAAACAGTAGATGTCATCAACTTTTCGATAGCATTCATCAAAATCATATTAATAGATTGAAATCAAAGATGCTTACTTTAATGTACTAATAAAATGAAATATTTAATCTGAATTATAAAATAATTCATAGAGGGAAAATATCTTTTACCTTTAGTAATCGGTTAGGTTACAAAAGTATCTTATTCGTGGAAAAAAAATAAGTTTTGAGAATTTACAAAGAGTCTTTTCATTACTAAACGTGAGGAAGAATTATTCATTAATAATGTATTATCTTGGCGGACTCTTAAGCCCAAATAAACAATAGAATTACAGTGAAATAGAATTAATAAGAATTATTATTATTTTGTGTCATTTTGTATTTTTAATTTTTACAATCATGTATTGATTTTACATATTGAATTTTCTTCCATTTTACGCTCGATAATATCTCGTATGTTCAGCTTATGTGCAGAAATTGCAAGAGAAAATAATCTTGTGTTTCTCACTATTTCGAAATAAACAATCTATGAAAATTAAATCGAATAGATTCTTCTGTGAGTTTATTACATTTTGGAAACAATCCCGAAAAGGACCACTTGTGCAGCTAAACGAATAGATCTTAAGGTCGAATTGTACGCTTCACTGCTGTTTTAAATGCAGCAGGTAAATAGAGCAAATTAACGACACTTGTTTTAATGATAATTAATGACTATATTAGAAATCCATTTAAAAAATGCAGAAATACAATTTAGTTGTCTACTGCATTTGTATTTCTCCGAAATTCGAAATTTGTAACTTGAATAGTAATTTAAAAATAGTAAATTAAAAATAATAGTACATTAATGTTAATATTGTACAATATCGCAATCAATTAAATTACAAACGATTTTAACATTGGTATAAAATTTTTTAAAGGAAAAAAAGAAATTTTGTTAAATTAATCTATCTCATTATCAGTTATAGAATCTCTGACTTAATAGATTGCAAAATACATACACTACGTATACAAGGTAATGTAAAATTTAAGTTATTGCGGACTCGAGACATCGTCTGATGCCAGTCGTAAATATTGACAGCGCGATATTACAACCAAGAATAATATGCACTCCTATAAGTTACGAGTATAAATCACTTCCGCGCTTTCGGGACGTGATCAGAGTAATTTATACATCACAATGGCGAGGGATGCAATTTATACTTTATTCTACGTTATATTTTAGGTTTTTGCCGGTTAACGCGTGAATAAATTACAACGTCCATATGTAATACCATTTTGTAATAGCTTCGAAAAATAGAATATTACTAAATGTATGTATATTCGTATTTTCAAGGTTACATATTTAGCAATATTACTTGGTACAATTTATACTAGAAATTATAAAGTGACAACAACAAAACTGAATTATTTATAATATTGACCACTAAGCGTTTATGATACATACTCTTGAAACTTTCTTTTTGCAACAAAAATTTATAGTGCATAAAAAATTGGGTAGCGCAATATTATGTTTCTGAAATCAATGTTACTCCTACAGAAAGTTATATGTCGTGTTCTTTAGGTAACGATATGGGTATATTTATTTATGTTGCAATGTTGCATTCCTTTAAAAGAAGATGAATATTTTTCCGATTGAACGTGAATTCTAACAACCGTGCACGCGCGCGCGCGCGCGCGCACGCGTGTGTGTATGTGTGTGTATAGAATAGGACTAATACTATATTTTTGTAAAAGTAGGCATGAACCGTTCGCAGAGATTCACATTAGTGTGCATCATAGTTCCTCGGTAAATACGTGGGCGAGTTTCTTATAAAATGCTCGCAAGAAATAAATGAGATACTTCAGTTTTTCGTGAGGATGTTGGTGATGTGGTAGATATCAAGGACTAAACGTCCACTGCAGGCAACTAAAGAAAAAAGGGAAAATAAAAAAGTATGAGGACGGTAGGCAAGCGCTATTGTAGCGAAAGTAATTGATTAGCAATAAAGAAAGTCTGACAAGGGTAATAACTGAATTCCTTGGTTTCAAAAGGTTGCGAATTAAAATTCCAATTGAGTGAACTGATGCTAAAAATATATGTCTGTATTTGTGTATATTTTGGAAAAGTATATGACCATGTCTTTTATAGAATTTTGTGCGTGCGTGCGTGCGTGCGCGCGCGCGCGCGGGTATCTATCTTTTATGTAATTTCAGAAATATAAAAACTGCAACGGAAAAGATAATATAAAAATGCATGAATTTTACAGTAACAACAAATTAATTTATTTTAAGGATATACGTACATATATACTATATTAAATTAACAAAAATAAAATTATTTAAACGAAAATATCTTTCAAATCTATCTTCCTAAATCAATTTATATAAATATAGATATTAGATCAATTTTTAAAATAAAACTAAATGCGGGGAAAAATTAATTAAATAGATGTTCGAAATTTGCAATTTAAGAAAAATATGCTAATCAGTATGAGAATAATGATAAAGATTGTCTTGTGAACAAAGAAAATTAATGAAATAGATTGGAATAAATAAAAATATATCAGTTTGAACAAATTTTTTTTCCTATTCATTTGCTGTTAGGATATATGTATTTTATTCTAATCTTTTTCTTATTATCCAAAGCTCCGTTAAGCGTTGCTAAGAAATTTCTTCTATTTTTCGCAACTGCTGTCACGTGCAGAGCTAATTAACGAGTTACCTGAGTCGTTCGTGTTGTATTACTCTTGATAATAGTCAGTTTTACAAAAAGAAATTTCTCTTTGATGACAAAAAATGAAATTTTTTGTAAATACCTTAATATAGTTATGAATTTCAAATAGTAATTTAATGATAATTTGTCATTATTGAATGTCATAAAGTTAATGAATTTCTTTTATAATTATGTATATGTATGTAGAGCTATCTGAAAAAATAAATTTTACAAAAATAATTTATGCTTAGTGAGGAATTTCTTTGAATGTAACTGTAAAATTTTTTAATAACAAAACAGATTTTTTTATATATATTACGATATTTATAAAAAATGATATATATCAAGCTAGATTTCCTGAATTATTAAATTTCTAACAAAATAATTATAAAATAAAATGCATAAAATATAAATTATTATTAAAATCAAATTTATATACTATTTATATATTTATATATTTTACATTCACATCAATATGATTAAAAAGAAAAAGATAAAAAAGGGAAGAGAGATGGACGCGCGCGCGCGCGTATGTGTATGAACATGAATGATTGAATCATAAACATTTCCTCGTTAGTTTTCGCATGAAATATTGGAAAAAGATCGCAAATATTATAACCTAAGATTAAAATTTAATTTTACTCAGGAACCTACCTATATATTATTTCACGTTACGATCTATCGCTCTGGCCTCATAC